ATTCTGGGTAAATTATATATGATTCAGTATTCAGTTTCGTGAAATATTATAATTTACCCATATATACAGTATATATATATATAGTATACATGCATAATCATGCATACATTCGTCGTTTGTATCATTTCGTATCCCGGTATCCCAGTCGTACCTCTGCAGGGCGACCCAATGGCCCAAGGATCGAAGCGTTTTTTTCGGCTGGTTGGTGACTGGAACCATGGAATTTTATGACGTTCCCATCATCTTGGGATTAATGGATTATAGTGGTTTAATGGATTTTAATGGATTTTAATGGGATGTTTCCATATATTGGGAATAGTTTCATCATCCCAACTGACGAACTCCATGATTTTTCAGAGGGGTAGGTATACCACCAACCAGTAGGATGTCATAAACAATTTGAGCCTTATCCTCACCTAATGATTTCCCGCTGTCCAACGCTTCCAACCTTGGGTTTACCAGGTGGCTATATGCAGAAGAAAACATGTGGCCCTGCCGTGAGGTGGGAAAATGCAAGTTGGATTTTGATGCCAACGCCAGCACCATCGAGAAGAACCCGGCAGAGAACATCTCGTTGAATCAGACTGGAGACTTTTTCACAAAGTGGTGCCCCGCCCCCAGGTGCTATTTGTTGATCTATGCATGTTTACAACGCCCATTGACTATGGAAATATATCTACCAGAAACCCTACTGCTCTTAATTTTTGAGTTATGTTAGCAGCTTCGCTAAGTACGGGGCACTACTATGTTATAATTCATAGTCACAATGCTGGTAGAATTACGGAAAGCAACTGGTGCCTGGTTTTTCTCGCGTAGCAAAAAAACTGTTCACAAGCAACGGGTGAATCATAGGAAACAAAAAGATCAATACCCATAGGTTCCATGTATGCTATATATGGTAACATTTACCATCAATATACCCCAAATGTTAGCATATATACCATACATGGATCCTATGGGATATAGCAATCTCCAAAAAGATGACTTTTCCATCTTTTCGGGCTTAGTATAGTCACTATGAATCGGACGCGCTTCTTAATTTCTTGATGGAGGAGTTCATCAGCAGAAAACCAGCTGGCATCTGCGACACATGTTTCCACTGAACTCGGAATTTGTTGTTATCCCGTCTCGCCGTTCTTACGCCCCCCCCAACGTAGGTGCCCGGTCAGTGATCCTCGGAAGTCATTACCCCTGAGGTTCACAGTAAATCCATATGTAAATCCCACAGTTCATCATGTTGCCTCTGAAAAACGTTCACCAATTGTTGATAAACCATATAAACCCCATTCAACCCCATTTTCAGACACACCCATCTGCGACATTCTGAAGACTGAGAGTTCCCCCATGTTCTGATCCAAGGAACTTTCACCTTTTGCGTCAACAACTTCAACAACCGTGACGCAGCCGACGTTCCCTTTAAGGTGCCGCTTGATGGGGCGATTATAGGATTGGCTGTAGCGGCTGACGGCTCATGCAAGGCGGAGGTTGAAGCTGAAATGCTCAACAAGATTCTTGAAAATGTCAACATGTTATACATGTTCCAAAAAAGGAATAGCTATTCGGGATGTGCACATTAGTTTAAAGGTTGGTTTGCCAAATTCTGTTCAGTCTTGGATGTGAAAGCTCACCAAGTTGTTAGAAACGCACTGTGGGAATAATTTCAAGTGTGGGCTGAAACCTATGGCTGTAGCATGCTATAGGAATCCTTGTTGATATCCTTTGTTCTTGTCCAAGTTGCAAAAAGCACAGAAATCGAAAACGGGTTTCGTGCTGGTCAGGTGATTGTGAGGAAGTCTGGACAAGATACCAGGCTGCAGCAGGCTGCAGTGGTCCAGTGGTCCATGGTACAGTGGTCCTGATGGAAATAGAGATTTTGGTTTGTCCGAAATATACCCGGCCTGGTTATGACTAACAAAAAGCTATTGAAAATGGCCATAGAAATAGTGGATTTTCCCATTAAAAATGGTGATTTTCCATAGCTATGTTAAATAACCAGATGGTAGTGGTTCCCGACCTCGCAGCGAAACAGACAAGTCGACGGTTTCTTCAAAAAAAAAGTAGTTTGAAGACAATCCAACTGCTTGCTGAAGGCTGAATGCTGGAAAAAAACATGTACATATATGTATGTATTTATATATATATACATAATATATACATATATATATATACAGTATACATGTATTAATATCTTGTTGTCATTTAAATGGCACTTCAAAATCAGCGTTGGGAACTGCCTTTTTCGCTGAGGAACTGGCAGAGCACAACGCCATTTGGCCAAAGAGTCGCAAGAAGGGCGACAAAATGGTCGCAGCTCGGCATCCGACGGGTTGCATGGGATGGGTGGGTCGAGGCTATGGAGACGTCTCCCAAAATGACTTGTTGGTGTATGACAACCGAAAATTAGCTGTTGGTCACTGTGTCAGCTTAGAGAAATATGATGAACTATGATGATTTATTGAGATGGGGATAGAGATGGGGGGCGGGATAGGATGGGGGATGGGGATATGGGGGATGGGGATGGAACATATTGACCCTCCAAAAAGCAGCCAATATAACGATTACAACAAACAACGAACACACATGTTTTGGGAAGTTAACCACCCAACCACCTTTTTTTTGGGGGGGGTGCAACTCAAAAGCTTCCCTCTTCCTCCGCCTGGTCGACATGTCGAGCTGAGTGGATGCTAAATTTCTCAATGAATCATTGCACCAGAGCATCGTATAACTAAGCATTGGATTTTGGATAATTCTGTTAATGATTTAGATTTCAGAACGGATAAAGAAATATACACAATGATAAGAATGCAATACTAAAACAGACTAAGGCATACTAAAGCTTACCAAAACACGGCCAAATCTGATTTGTAGTTCCAGATATTCGTCATATTCCGTCCCTCAACATGGCCCACATGACTACATCACATTTTGAGATTTTGAGATGACCAGGTGTGCACTGTTACGGTGACTCCTCAGGCGTGAAGGGATGTCATATGGTTGTTGGATTTTGTGCGTTTTTCAACCAGAGAATTGTTGAAGTTGCACACTTAGAATCACGGGGTATTACCCTCTGGTAAACTAACATAGCTATTGAAAATGGCCATTTACAGTTGATCTACCCATTAAACATGGTGATGTTCAATAGTTTTTTGTATGTTTACCAGAGGGTACCATATGTTACTATCCACATCTATCCATATTATCCCGGCAGCCCCATTTCTGGGGGACACGGTGTTCAGAAATGCGCACAGCGCCAGATATCGGCACTTCTCAGCTGTATTGTAAATATAATAACAAATGCTTTGTGGCTCACTGGCAACTTGTTCTTGAGAACCCATGATTTTCATTTGATTTTCTATTTTCTAATGCTTGAATTTTGTCATGAAACTTTTCATGACACTCACACAAATGCTTCGCAGAAGGGATTTTCCCTCGAAGGACATGACCATTTGGTGGAATAATCCACTGAAACCTTGAGAAAAAAACAACAAAAAAACATCTGAATGCAAAAAAACTTGTGATTTCCATGATTTTCCTTCCAATGTGTTTCAAGGTTCACATCAAAAATTGTAGCGCTCCGACCTCTCTTTCCAGGACCTGCAGGAGAAGTCGGTGGAGATGTCGGAAGCGGAGCAGAAGAAGCTCTTGGCCAAGGAGGCGGCGCCTCGGAAGTCCAATGTCATCCAACTGGTTTTTCTTGGTGATTAATATCATGATATGGGTATGGGTCAATACCTATAGATACATACTATAGTGGGATGAACATCCATAAATCCCAGCTATTTTGGGGTTCACTAGGTACCAGGGTTTTGACCCATCCCCATATATCATGATATATCTATAGTTCATGGATGTTCATGGGATTATAAGAAATGATTTATGACTGGGGGGGGCATCACCTTGCATAGTTTATAACACTGAATATATAGATCGATATCCCATAGAAAGTTCGTATCACAGCATAGATTTCATATATCAACATATATCATCATATACCCCATAGTGAATCACTGATTCAATATCCCGGATCAAGGAACATAGATAATATTTTAGAGTTAATGGAACTAATATTGGCTGAATAGTTGATATCATATAGTTTGTGACAGGTTATGTCGATAATATCCCGTATAATATTTAAGTATCCCATTATAGTATTGGTGATTTCATATGTCGTGACACAGTTAAGTAATGCTAATGCACTAATGTTAGTAAAGCAATAATAGACCACCCATACTTTGATGGTTGCATTTGTGGTAAAATTTGGGATGGTTTACTATTGCTTTACTAACATTAGTTGTTTTACATTGGGATAGAACTGACATGTGAGTTAATGGAAAAGACATAAGAAATGATATATCATATCCAATTTTCCTATTCAAACTGGGACATCATAATTTTCTATATGAAATACCCTCTGGTAAACTAACATAACTATGGAAAATCACAATTTTCAATGGGTAAATCAACTATAAATTGCCATTTTCAATAGATTTTGTATGTTTACCAGAGGGTAATTGACATATCAACTATTATGGAACTGTTGATGAACTCCCATTAAGTATTATCAAAAACTTATATGTGAATATATGTGATATTTCCGTGATAACCCCATTTTGATACCAGTTATACCCCCAGTTCATGCTGCCCGAGGAATGGGCCAGACTCTTCGGTGAGCCGAAGGCCTACCTGGCCTGCGAGGCCCAGGTCCAGTTCCTGCGCCTTGGAAGCACCAAAAATGCCGTCCAAAATGGGGCCCATTGACCTCTGGTAAATTGTCCCATAACTATGGAAAATATTGGGAAATCACCATTTTTCATGGGAAAATCCACTATTTCTATGGCCATTTTCAACAGCTTTTTGTATGTTTACCAGAGGGTAAATGGGGATTCAGATGATTCAACACTGATGTAACCATCAAAACAATTGAAAACTGAGGATTGATCGGGAACCATTGGGTGTTACTCAAAGATGGCTGGAAAATCCTGCCAGTTCGATGATTTTGCCGACAATTTTGTTGCGCATAGAGGACAAATTCATATCCCACTCAAAGTCAGAATTATGTGTATATATATAATTTGTGTGAAGTATGTTCGGGTGAACATTGGCTTTGTAGACTTGATAAGTCAATTGTTCTTCCAGTTTTGATAGAGGAATCTTCTGTCAAGAGCTGAACATCTTGTTTTTGTTCATGCTTGTTACTCTTACTATCTCTTACTCTACGTAAAAGATGTGCCAAAAGAATGCTATGTTTCTCCATGTTAAGCTTGGCTTCTGACCAGTTCTCATTAAGATATATACACTCTCCCTCCTGTATCTGGCAATGGAAATCCCTATGTGTCGGAAAACCGGGTATAAGTTGAATAAATTTAAATGTTTATACTTGGCAAATCATATCCCATAACAATATTAACATAGAATTCCCCATTCTATACCCATGAAATGGTTGGTTGCACCATATTTCACTAGTGGTTAGTCATGGTTAATCCCATGATTTGCCTTTAAATCATATTAAATCCATGTTTTGTTATCCCGTGCCTCAAGTGTTCCGTTTCCCATGTTCCCACTCCCCCAAATATCACCCGTCTTTTCTCACCGTCACCAGGAAAACCGTGCTGACCGACCCAAAGGCGGCCGTAGCCAAGGGCGCGCAGCAAGTCTTTGAGCAGCTGCTGACGGCCAAACCGCAGGCAGAGTCAGCAACCAAAGAGATACATAGAAAAGTCGCATCCGAATCTATGAAATTTGGTAAATCATGGTAAAAATCCATGTTCTATATCTACTATATTATTTTTTTGGGGGTTAGTATGATATAATAGTGTATAATTTACATCAATATACTGTAATATATGATTGATATTATATATATATACATTATTTACACATAAAATACTATATTTGGGTAGTGAAGAAGCGACCCCAGAGACAGTTTACTTTTCCAAGCTGTTTTTTTCTCCAGGCAAAGAAGCCGAGCTTGGCAGAGAGATGCAAATTAGAAACTGGGCTGTGAATGATTCCATGACAGCCCAACCAGAAATGGACGGTTTAACCGTTTAACCCAACAAAAATGGGAAGTTAACCCATGAAAATGGTGGTTTGCCCCTCACCAATGAAAAATGTATGATTTAACATGATTTAACTATCAACAATTGGGAGTTGAACTGCAAGACTGTGGATTCAAACAGCAAAAAATGTTGCCGTAAAACCGGGAGAAGGGATCTCACCAATAAACATCCGGATTTACCCATCCAAAATTGTGTTTTGTATGTTCAAGTACAAGACCGGAGATTTAACCAAGTGAGAGCAGGAATTCCACTGGGTTCATCATGGTTTGTCCACACTCAAAATTTTCCAACCCAAAGCAAGCATTATTTAACATAGCTATGGAAAATCACCATTTTTAATAGGTAAACCATCTATTTCTATGGGCCATCTATACCATGGCTATGTTAGTCATAACCAGAGGGTATATCAAATTTTGATGGTAGTCATTTGCCCTGTTTGACGATCACACTCAGTGCAATGCATTGGTCAACCGACCAACAGGGGGTTCCCCTGATTGGTTTCCCATCAGTTGGAGGTATGAAATGTGTGTATAGCCCCGCACCAATTATCTGGATAGAGTACAACAAACTCACTGCGACGTTACTGGAATGGTGGTAAGTGCAGTAAGAGGTAACTATCACAAAATAGCCCCAACTGATGTTATTTACTGTACTACATTATGAATTACCAATCCTGAATCATTGATGATCAAGGGGTGTGACCGATGAATTGCTGATGATTTGTCGTTTGGGAGATCCAGCGTCGTGTTTAGGATGACAATGTCTCAAGGTGGGGGAATATGGGTGAATGGTCATAGGCTGTCATAGGTTGTTAAAATTCTGAACTTTCACATCAATTTAGTTGTTTTGCTTGCAAAATAGTTGGTCCGGCAAAGTTGACAGGATAGTCTGCCACGGGGTTCATGGCAGATGGTTTTTGCCTTTGATCCTACTAAGTCGAAGTAGTTGTTTTCCATTGAAAAAATATAAAAAAAATAATGATAATACATAGTACTCATCATGGTGATAATTATAGTAATACATATATATATATATGTATACATGTAGTTGATAATGACAATACATTTGATAATATTATGATAATACTACATAGTACATATCATAATAATCGTGTATAATAAAGATAATATATGATAATAGTGTATCATCTATAATGCAATTATTGTACTACACTTTTATTAATGTATACTATGTAATACTATCATTATTATTGTGGTGATAATAATATCTATAACCCAGATGCTCCATGGTGCTGGAATATTTACCTACATTTCCCCCAAAAATGACCCAGTTTTGTAGGTAAATATTCCAGCACCATGGAACATCTGGATGATGATCCCAAGTGACTGCCATGACGGGTGACCAGGAAAAGCTGGAGGGCTTCATCGAGCACGTGACCAGCAGAAAATGCCGTGTGGAAGTGCCCTGTACGCGCTGAAAGCCACCAAAGTGTGCTTTTTTGGGTATAGTTACAATTAGTTACAAGGTAGTATCCCTCTAATTACAGTTACCCTCTGGTAAACTAACATAACTATGGAAAATCACATTTTTTCATGGGAAAACTCACTATAAATGGTGATTTTCCATAGCTTTTTGTATGTTTACCAGGCCGGGTATCTGAGTTTTTCAGCCCACGCCCCTCGATTGATACCAGGTCCTCATCCGCAACTTTGTCCCTGCCTACATCACCCGCCTGGAAACCACCACTGATGTTCTCAAGAACCAGCTGGCAGTGAACGTGGCTCGGCGCCATTTTCAAAGGATAGGGCAGTTGGTTGAAATGAAGAGGAAGTATAGGCTACTTGGGGTTGAAAAGCTAGATATGACAGATGATATATATATATATGTGATATTATATGATTATATGTACTGTATGTATATATATATACATAATATAGCTATATAGCGAGATTGGTTTCCACATCAACGAACAACACTTAGGGGCACACCTTGTAAGAACCTCACCAGAAGATGATGGCAAGGGGAATCCCCAAGATTCTTTGTTTGTTCAACTTTCAGAAGAATTTGAGGTTTCCCGGAATACCCCCAAATCATCCATTCTAACGGGAGTGTCCATTATAAACCTACCATTTTTGGATACAGTACCCCCATTTATGGGACCCCCCATATGAACACACTCCAACCATGCTGCATTTAGAGGTCATCTGAATTGCCAGCAAAAAAACATCCAGAAAGATAGGCATGGATATCCCATCCACAGCTGAGATGTAACAGCTGTGAAAGCATACAGCTGGTGGTGAGATCTTGCCTTTTTCAAGGAGTATCCAGATATATCCAGATATCATCAGATATCCCATGATTTCATGTCTGTGAAAATTTGCGGTGTACCCGGTTTTTTCCGTATCCAAGGCTAAGAATCAGGGGTACCCGGGGTACCCCAAAAATGGCGAGGCGATAACCGGTGGAATTTGGTGATTTCCATCTATTTTTTTAGGGGCCAGGCCGCCATGAGATGTCAAGATGCAGATTCCTATTCCCAGAAATGGTTGAAAGATGTTGAAGGGACCATTTACAGAGAAAACAACTTGGAAAAGCTACAGAAATGGGTAAATTCATGGGTTTCCTGTAGTTTTTTTTGTCCAAAACATCCCAAAACCAAGCCAATGATTCACAACTCTGTTTCAAGACTTCAAAATATCAACACGTGGTCCACAGCCCAGCTAAGCTCCTCTCCTTGCCAAGGTGTTCCACCGAAAGTTTGAGTTGCCTATGGCACCGCGCAGTGATGAGCAGCTTGTAGTCGTCACAGTCAGTTGGATCCCACTGGATCCCCCCCAAAAATAATAGTTCGATGATGTCCCCATGATGTTCCCATCAAAACATACGATTTTTGGTGGTGACTGGAAAGTGACTGGAACATGTTAAACATGACTTTCCAGAAACACTTGGGAATGTCATCATACCAACTGACGAGCTCATATTTTTCAGAGGGGTAGGTCAACCACCAATCAGATAGATAGATAGATAGATAGATAGATAGATAGATAGATAGATATGTAATTATATATAGATATAATTATATATAGTTATATATATATATATTACCCTTTGGTAAACTAACATAACTATGGAAATCACCATTTTTGATGGGAAAATCCACTATAAATTGCCATTTTCAATAGCTATGTTAGTTTACCAGAGGTATATATATATATATATGACATGTCCATTTTAACATGTTCATTAATTTTGATCGGGGATTTCCCAGCTGGCCATCTGTAACTGATCTCACCGGTTGCTGGGTGATGATGCCGTCGATACGTATAGAAGGTGGGCCATAGTTATGAGATGCTTATTTATAACACTTTATAAGCCCATCTAACCATAGAAAAGTAAAATTTTAGTAGAGTAATTTACCCCTATTTTAGTTGGATTTGTCCAACTATCTATTTGGGAGTCAGGCCTGGCACTGCACGGCTGGATGAGACGTGGAACCTGGCTCCTAAAGCTGTGGTCAGAGGCTTCGTTCAGGTGGGACTGGAGTTTTCGTTCGTAGATGACGAGCATAGCCAGCATAGCTGTTTGGGATGAGTTGAAACATGTTGAAACCAGCGAAAAAATAACACTGTTTATCTGATTTAATCACTACCATAATTTATCATTAATAGAACATACAAAAAATCGCTCAGATTGATCATGATTTATCTGAGTTTTCCATATTTGCTGCTTTTAAAAATTTTGGGATGGGTTTTTTTAACCATTTTGAAACCAGTAGAGATTAATGCGAGAAACCCAATGCCATAAGCCTAGCGCCGCGGTGTTGGGGATGGGCAATATTCGGTAGGCTAAAAACCACATTATGAGGATTTATCCATTTGTGTATATGATTGTATTTACTGTATACATATATATATATATATGTGGTTGATTGGTTGGATGTACTGGGGAGATTTTTGGTGGAGACATCTTCCAGGATTATCTGTTGATGTCCAGTCCACGTTTTTCCGTACAAAAAGTTAGCGACACGGTCAGTGAAATCCATGGTTGGGAAAGCCATTCGGAAATGATCTACTAAAATCGTTGATTTCCAGAGCTACGTTCGTTTGCTGAAGGGTAACTGGTTGGCAACTGGATCTACCAATAGCAGTTAATACCCTTCAGTAAACACCAGTTAATTACAAACAAGAGCAGATACAGTGGGATTTCTACAAACTGGATAATATGTAAGCAGCAAACACTGTTTTTTTTTAA